ATGTCTCTGCTGTCACAATAGACAACGTGGGCAGCAGTGTGCAGATATAAGTCAATGAGTCTCAGCAAGCCAGTCACAGACCCGTGAGATTTAGGCAGATTTCTGGCTGCAAGTCCCAAGTTGAGCTCCCTGTCCTCCTGCAGGGTTGAACTCTGCAAAGTTCTATGTAGGTTTCAGCTGCCTTTCCCCTGAAGATAGTCCAGGTTCCAATGGGAGATGATGATCCCTCCAACTTACCAAGTACAGTGGTCTGGTGTGCCTTTATTGCAGAAATTCTCTTCCCTTTTCCAGTGGGCTTCAGTTTTCAAGGAGCCTGAGAGAGGCCCTCTATCTGTTGTTCACTTCTGTAGCTCAGGATAATGGCCTTTATGCCCCCCTGTGCCTCTGTAGTGTGGAACCAGGTAGCTGCACAGCCAGGAGGCCAGAGGGCGTGGAGGCGCGGTTATGCTGGCAGCTGGTGGGCGTGCTGAGAGGTCCTCATGGTCTCTCTCTTCCTACTTAAAAAAAAAAAAAATAATTCCACTTCTCTTCCATCTCCTCACACAACCTCCCTCTCCACCTCAACTTCTAGGGGCACCATCTGCCTCCCTCTATGAAATATATAGTGTCTGATAAATGTACTGCAAAGGATACAGTTTAGGTCCTACAAACACAAGGCAGCATGTCACAGTGGTTAAGAATGGTAATGTTAGGGCCGGGGATTTAGCTCAGTGGTTCCGGTGCCTGCCTTGGACACAAGGTCCCCAGTTCAATCCCTGGTACCAAAAAAAAAAAAATGATAATGTTTGTCATGTGACACATCTAGACTGGTGTATTCCTTTCCTAGGGCTGCCCTAGCAAGTTACTATAAACGAGGTGGCTTAAAACAACAGAAATGGGTTCTCTTATAGACCTGGAGGTTAGCTGTCCAAAATCAGAAGGGCTATGCTCTTTCTGAAGGCCCTAGGGAAGAATTTTTCCTTGCCTCTTCCTAGCTCCTGGTAGTTGTCTGCAATCTCTGGTCTCCCTTGGCTTGAGGCAGCCACACTTGAAATCTGTTTCCCTCTTCACATACCCTCCTTCATTATGCTCTCCTCTGCTTCTGTGTCCACATTTCCTTGTTATGGAACATCAACCATTGAATTAAGGGATTACCCTCACCCAGCATGATCTCGTCTTAACTTGATTACATCTGTAAAGATGCTGCAGTATGAGCCACATAATGACATTTCAGAAAACAATGGACCACATTTTCTTCACCTAGTAGTGTTATAGCTGTCATAATATTGTATTACACTGTATAACTCATGTATTTGTGGTTATGCTAGTGTAAATAAACCTATTGTGCTGCCAGTTGTTTAAAGTATAGCATATAACATACAGTATACAATATTTGATAATAAATGACTATGTTACTGGTTTATGTATGCACTATACTATACTTTTTTTTTTTTTGTACTGGGGATTGAGCCCAGAGCTTTCATACTGAGATATATACCCAGATATTAAAAAATTTTTTTTTTAATTTCGACATAGGGTCTTGCTAAGCCACTAAATTGCCCAAGCTGGTCTCCAACCTGTGATCCTCTGACTCAGCCTCCCAGAGTGCTGGGATTACAGTTGTGTGACACTATGCCTGTCTATATTATGCATTTATTGTTATTTTAGAGTGTATGTCTGCTTATAAAAATGTTTGCTATAAAACAATATGCTGTGTTATGCTGGCAGCAACATCATACATCTTGTGTTTACTGATTCTCTTGATTGCATAATTTTCCCTTATGCTTGATTTAATCTTACATTATTTTATTCATCATAGCCCTAGGCGCAACAGATGTTTCTCTCTCCCTCTCTCCCTCTCTCCCCCCCCCCAACAACCCCCTTCCCTTTACCTCCCCATTTGCACCCTTGGTCTCTTTCCCTTTGTATGTATGTATGCTGTATCGCCCAGGTACGTGTACCCTCTAGGCCTGTGTAAGTACACTTTATGATGTTGTAACAATGATAAAATTGTCTGATGATGGATTTCCCAGAATGTATCCCCATTGTTAAGGAGTGCATGTACTTATTTTCTAATAAGATTTCATCCTATGTTTTTAGGGAATGTGAATTTTGTGGATATGCTAGTCAATTCACTTGAAACAATTAATAAGCATTCAATAAAGGTAGCTATTATAGGAATGCATAGGGCAGGAAAAGGAAACCATTTCTGACTGATAAGCCAACACAAAAAGGAAGTATTTAAATTGAGTGGGAAGACTTTTAAGTAGGTGGGGCTTTAATGCTTAATGATTTATTCCAAACTTCCTGTCAGATACCAGATGTTGTATTGAGCAACACATTCTATTCCAGGTAATAGTGGATTATAAACTTCCTGTATATAGTTGGAGGAAAAAAGTGGCCGATTTTGAAACAGGCACTTCTGGGTTTTAATAGCCAAGCAATTGGGTGAAATCCAGCTGTCTCAGCACAGGGATTTTGTGACGATTCCAGGAGGCCCTGTCTCCAGGAATGGGAAGGAAGGACCAGGAGGGGCTGAGGTGGTGAGAATGGGCCTGGGCAAAAGCTCTGAAGACGTTCAAAGTGTACCTCACTGCCAGGACACTGCTGGGGCCGATGAGAGAAAGGACCATTCTCTCTGCCTCCCCCTAGAAGACTGTTCTTTTGGAGGGTACAGGCAGGCACCTGGTATTAAAGTGTTTGGAGATGGTAGGCCCATGTGCCATTAGGAGGATGTTGGAGCAGAGGCTAAGTCTCTCAGTCTTAACACGAGCTGCCCGGGAAGACAATCACTAGCAATTTATTTCACACTCACTCTGGGTCAAACACTTGACATTTGCTGTCACAATCTAATCCCCTTTACAGTCCCTCTAGGTAGACTGTATTAACTTTACTAGGTAGACAAAAATATGAAGCTTAGAATATGATTTGCCCAAGGCTACTCTCCTACCAAGTGGCAGAATCAGGATTCCAACACAGCTCTGTCCGGAAACAAGGCTCATATTCTTAATTACTGGTTGTAGGCTGAGCTAAGTCCTTCAGGATATAATGATTCAGAGAAGCTAGGACTCCTGACCATTCCCTGGGGCAAGGCATGAGGTTTAAAGTGGTCTGGTCTGTTCCCAGTGCCCAAGGCAGAAAAAAGAAAGCTAGGAGACTCAACCAGTGATATTCCAATTCCTGAATGGGAAAGTGAGCACCTCAGGCCTGGCGGGCAAAGGGTCCCTCAGGCTCTTAGACACTGAAAAAGAGCATTCTGGAGCCACAGTAGGTGGGAGAGGCAAGACATAGACCCACTGCTCAAGGCCTACAGACATAATTGATGCAACAGAACTCTGAAAGTGACCTCAACTTCATGAAGAGGAGATCACAGCTCAGGAATGTAGGAAAGACTTCATAGTCCCCAGTGAGTTTTCCCAAATATATTCTCTGATGAGAGAAGAGATGGTGATAAAGCAGCTTTCTTTGAGAAGTTCCTGGTTCTACCCCAGGGTATAGAAAGAACCTTTCTAGTGACAATGCCTGCTCTTGCTGAGGGTCTATGAAGGGTCATGGGCAAGAAGGAGGGGAGCTGAAAATTGGGAATGTTAACTAGTACAGGTCTCAAAAAGAGAAAAAGGAAGTACTTGTGGACTGTAGGACAGGGTTAATGGCAAGTGTTATGGGTTGTGTTTAGATGTCCCCCCAAAGGCCCATGCAGTAGTAGATGGCTGAATCTAAAGTATGTCATGCTAGGCTTAAGGGTGTGTGACTACCATACCAGTATACTTGAGTGATTGGTTTGGCACTGCCCTAATCTTGGTAGTCTGAATAAGATAAAAGGGGCAGAAAGATGTTTTTAAGGTCTCTTGTTGCTTTTGTGACCTTCTGGCTGTCATGAACTGTTTCTTCTCTGCAAGACCTGTCTGCCACGCCATCCTGCCTTGGAGCCAGCTGATTATAGACTGAAACCTGTATGAACTGTAAGCCAAATAAACCCTTCCCCCTCTAACCTTGGGTGTCGGCTATTTTGGGTCTCATCAATGAGAGAAAAGTAAGGAACACAGCAGGCATCATTCTAGGAAGGAATATTAAAGGAGCATCTCAGGATAGACCTGGTGGCACACACTTGTGATCCCAGCATTTTGGGAGGCTAATGCTGGATGATCACAAATTCAGATCCACCCTGGGCTTTGGCAATTTGGTGAGACTCTGTCTCAAAAATAAAAGGTAATGGGGATGTAGCTCAGTTTGAAGGCCTTGGGTTCAATGCTGATATTTTTTTTCATTTCTCTTGGTTATATCCCAGTTGCAGTGATTTTAAAATTTCCCTGATTCTGATGTGGAACCAGGGCTGAGAACAAATGACATAATAGAGTGGTGAAACTCATAACACACTGACAGCTTCAGGGAGACATTTGCAGGATCCCCTTTAAGTCTTGGGGATCTAGATGAAAGACTTGTGCTTGGTTCACAACTTATGTTCCCCCCATTCCCCCCACAATATGAGTGCTCTCAATGTGTGCTGAAATGTGCCTTAGGACCCTGTTCTCGACTTGGTTCAATTCAACATTTGTGCTGATGGCTTGGGATAAATATCAGAAATGGGGGTTTTCAAACATTTTTCTCCTTGCACAACACCTTTCAGTGAAACAGAGAAAGGTGGACCTACTCCAGTTGCCACTAAGAAGAGGTTGAGTTCTCAAGTCCTTGTCTGTTAGGACTCATGTTAGTCATTTTCCTGACCTGAAATTTAAAAGCAAAGTTTATTTTAGCTCCTGGTTTTCAGAGGATTCAGTGTATGGTTGGTTGATTCCAAGGCAGAATCAGTATGGCAGGAGGGTATAGCAGAGGAAATTGCTCAACCCATGGTAGCCAAGAAGCAGAGAGAGAAGGGAGGAGGTAGTCTTCCAGGCCATGCCCCCAGTGACCACCTCTAGTCAGGTTTCAGCTCCTAACACACATTTAGGTACTGAATTCATCAATGGATGAATCCACTGATGAGTACAGTGCCCCCGTGGTCCAGTCACCCTCTTAAACCCCCGCCTGTGAATACGTGAGACTTTTGGGGAGACATCTGAGATCTAAGCTTAACAGGTCTGTAGTTTTTCTCTTGTACTCACACACTTCAACACCTCGGAGCCTTCCCTCAAAACATCTAGGGCTTTACAGAGCACGACTTTAAGACCACTTCTGCAGAAAGTATTTTTATGAATTTGAGGATAATCCAAAACTGAGGATAGAAGTTCGTTTTAATGGCAGACTCAGGGTCAAGATGAACTTTAGCAGCAATCAATATAAGGTAAACAAATATAGAAAATGAAAATAAAAAGTTCATTTCTCAGAGTGGGTTGCATTGGGAAGTAATGTTTTCTTTCCTGTAAGGTATTCAAGCCCAGCCTGGCCAGCTTTGTGTGCGCACGTGTGTGTGTGTAATGAAAACACCAGAGGTGAGGCTGTTAGCCTAGCATGCACAGGGTGAGAGCCACTTGCACCTTTAGCATCTTTGCTAGAGGGGAAAGGGGTTGGCCTGAAGGGT